CTCTCCGATTAGGCACCCAGAACCGGTGCCCTGAAGGCTTGAGCCTGTATCCGTTCGATTTCAATTACTTTCTGCAACTTTTAGGTACAGAGATGTGCAGTGTACAGATACGCTGAAGAGATAAGTAAGCATGTGGAAAGTCTTTCTGGTTCTTCTTTGAAGAAGGAATGTGAATTACATCAGTCACTATGCAAGAATGCTTCTCTCACCAACATGTCTCACGGCCATTACTTTAAAGTCCACAGGGGAAACTTCAAGCTGGCATGAACAGCAATTTATACTATCGAGAGTCTTGCCTGTGCATCTTCTGCACTCAGCCACATTTCTCTGTGATTAAAGAGACAACAGGCATACAAGCTCCACAGAACAGCTCAAACTCAAGCCTGCAGTGATGGAGACAACAGGGCAAAAAACATATTTTGCCATTGCTCTGGTCACAAGAAAAGAAAAGTAGTGACAGAATAGTAGCAAGGCCTGGAAATTACAGGAAATGTCTTAGAACTATGAGAAAGTCTCTTTAAGATAATAAAAAAAAAAAATCCTAATGAAGAATGCAGGGACTCAGCAAGAAACTCTGTATGTAAGATTCCAGGTTCCAGTAAGGACAGAAACACCAAAACACAATAGCTAAACTACCCACCAAGCCACAGCCTCCCTCAAAAGCCCCAACCAACCTCCTCTTTACAGGACCAAGTCCGTGCTGCTAGAGAGCCACTAAGTTTTACATGGCCTATAAGGTGTGACTTAATTGCATAAAGCATTCCAAAAAACTCTAGTATAGCCCAGTTTTTTCAAAGCACTATGTGACTGGCAAGCGCTGTCTAGCCTCTTATTTTGTTCTCTGGTATGTATATAATCCTCCTGAGTATTAAACTCCTCTCATCAAACATTCTCTCTCAAGGCTCATTTTCTCGTGACTGTTCAGTTACCTTTTACGGATCGTATTTCAGCCTCTAAAATCACAACGGAGAAACTGGCCAGGAATTAGCCAAGAAGAGAGGCTTGCTCACTGTAGGTGGTTGGCTTTCAGGCAGAACTTGTCCCCTTGAAAATACTGAAGTGAATCCGGCCCAACTTAGTAGCAAACAATTGTTTGCCGGCAGACAACATTAAGCTCTCGTAAGCTATTTTCCATGTGATCAGTTCACCAACTAAAACATCAGCACATCAGTTGCTTTTATCTGCTTCATTATTTACAAGTCACCCATCCGGCTTCCTCAAGCACTCAGCCTATATCTAATCTCCACAACACCTGTCCATCAAACATCATACTACGCAGGCAACAATGGACCGGTTGCCAATGGGTTACATGACTCTCCCTTCTCAAGGAGTTACAGAACGTCTGTTGCAAAGCCTTGAATTGACTTAAGGTCATTTCCATCCTGGTCCACTTTAATCTTTTTTACTATTTCATACCCTTCCTTAGTACTCTGATTGAAAGTTAAAGTACCGAAAAAGCACAAACATATTCCTATCTGAAGGCAGAGCTGACAGGACTCTGTGGGAAACTTCATATTTGTTGGAGAGTTGTATTTCTTTAGGAAGCAAGACATTCAAATAATGCCCCTCACTAGAATTAATATGGAAGGTTATTAACTGGTATTTGGATTCATAAGTCCAATTAACATCAAAGGAAGCTGAGCGGCAAAATAGTCTTATTTAGCTCCCTGAAAATATATCAAACGGATTTCTACCAAATTGAAGAATGACATTCCAGGCTGAATGTCCAGTCACTGCACTCCCTTGGGGAAAACATACCCTAGGTGCCCCCAAACATAGCAGGCACGTGCTATCTAAAAGGCTACCAGACAAGTGCTGGAAACACCTCCCACACATATGCTACCACTGAACCCCCCAGCTAACTGCACAGACTTCAGGAAACCATCATGTGGCCTGCCTGATGTTCAGTAACAGAAGTCCAACACAAGAGAGGAAGCTATGGACAGGTCAGGAGCAAGCCAGAACATAGAAGTCATCTACCCCAACAGTCTGGTGGAGATAAGTATGTAGCTGATACAACACATGGAGAAAACCCTGAACTCAACTAGTAACAGTCTGAGGAAATGCAAAGAGATAATTTGTCCTCCCCATTCTCACACTAAGATCACCGTCTTAAAAGAAAACATTATGAAGAACCTCTACTCATCTAGAACTGTGGTTTCAAAGCCAGCAAATGGCCTTTTACTTTTTAAAGTGGCAAAAAAAAAAGGAGTAGGCAGTTTACATCTTCTCGTGAGCAGACTTCATTCTTCAGTTCCAAAAGGAAAAGAAAGACTTCAGTAAGGGCATGGCCATTCTGTTAAACAGCAGTAACACCAGCACAACTTGCTAGTGGAAGCCAGATACTGCTTTGTGGAGAAATGGAAACAATACCAATTGGGGTATTTATTACTAGATTCACTATTTCTGAAACCGAGCCAGTATCTGTCTCAACTGGACATGGCAGATCGTGAATCTCTGTCCCCCATTCTTGTGCAGTATAGATGTGCCCTAGATCATTGTCTTCCCCAAATACACTGTAGAGAAGTGCTGATATACTTCCCTTGCATTCAGTATATTCTAAGGACACACCAAACTTTCCTACTAAACAAGCTGGAACATTTTCCCTGCCATGCAGTACTCTAAACACTCCTTCAGCTGCTGCTCTTGGAAGAGACCTCACAAATATGCACTTTGATCCTGAACTGCACACTGCCTTTAAGACTTTGAGTATGCTACCACTGCGGATCTCAGGTCCGAGCTGTGGACTAGGGTCACTTGGTGGAAAGATGATACACACCTTCACTCTCATATCACAGAATATTCCTAACCATATCCCCAGGCTCTGCTACTACACCGAAAAATATGACAGCAGAAAGGGTGGATGCCAGATCAAAGTGGATGAGCAGCCAAGGGCTGGTCAGTGTTACAGCAGATGATGCAATCTGCACCTGATCATGATGAAAGCAGGAAAGGGTACGGTCAGGATGTCTCCATCCTGCACCTCTCATGGCTGTATTTCTGGTCATTGCCATTGCTCTGTTTTCAAGTGTAATTACAGTGTTAGGAACCAAGCCGTCACAGGGCTGTTCTTCAACAAACACCAAGCAAGGATGAACTTTCATCTAATTTGCACACCACACAGGCGAAATCCAGCCCAAGATGCAGCCCAGTGTGCTAAACTGGAGTCTGGCAGTAGCTTGTTAGCAGAGAATGAAGAGTAAGCTCAGAGTACTGGTGACAGCAACATCTCCCACACTGTCTGAGGTTGCGTGGCAGAACCATACCAAGGACCCCACAACCAAGGTTTTTATTCAAATTCTCTAGTGCACCCTTCATGTTGTAAAACACCCAATAATACTGAGTGCATTGTTATTGACAAGTCTCATGTTAAAAGCTTACTTCATCATAGTGACACCTGTGAAGTTATTAGCTTTATTTAAAAAGATTAGGATTTACAGTGGAAAAAAGAAACCGCAACTAAACAAATATAACACTAAGAACATTGCAGGAAGAAGAGAAAAAGGTAGGCACACCTTCAAAGAGACAGCAGGCAAGCGAAAAAGGAAGAAATGTGGTAACGGCTAGCTAACTAATTCACAGGCAATGAGAACAGTAGTTAAAACAGAGAGCCCGTACACTGTATTATAGATGAAGGGTGACAAACGGGAAGATAAAGAGCCAAGCTTTCTCCAACCACAGTGACAAGTAAACATAACCTAATTCTAATAGAGCTGGAAATTACTCATCCAGCTGTTCCCAGCTGCCCAAACTGTGCTGGAAATGTATGTGTCTGGCACTGGTCATGTCAGACCTGTGCCCATTCCCCATTGACTGGAGGCTGACAGGAGCTCAGAGCAGAAAAAGAACTGCTCTTATTCCTTTCTTGTTTGGTGACTGCTCTGGAACAACTAGCACTTCAGTCCCTAATTTTCCTTGCACAAAGCTGCACCAAGCATATCTGAAAGGAGCAGTCGGGAGTAACGACGTGGTAAAAATACTCTTTAAGAGAGTAATAGTGTGACAAAAAAGTGTTAGCAGCTCTGTCAGCAGATAATAGTGGACATCCAGGAGGACTACAGGACAGGCCAAATTCATAGCAACACTCCTCCATACTCTTTCATAAACTCAGTAATCTCTGACTAAAGTACTTCTTGGTAAGAAGGAGTACCTTTGCATCTGATAAACCTCAATCAATTTCTTGCATGGATTTGCTGAGGTGTTTTTTGAACCCATGGAAACTTTTAGCATCCATTACATTCCCTAACAAGGCAAGTCTAAGCATTTCACATCTTCATTATCAGCTGTGTGAAGTAGTAGCCTCCTGTTTTGAACATTGAACTTGCCAGTTTGTTCTGATGCTTCCTAGCAATTCTGTCAGAACAGACAGTGAATAATTTTGCCTACTTACTTTCTCCATAGCAATCTAAATTTCCAAAATGAGATCTTAAATAGCTCTACAAATGGGGGCAGTGCCATATCCCCCATTTAATAGGTGCGCAAATGGAGGCAAGAAGAAGGGAGAAGGCTTACTCAAGGTAATCTAGCAGGCTAAAGGAAAACGTAGGCATAGAAACTGTATTATTTTAGTTCTTATCCACTATCCTAGCTATATAATGATATAACCTTTCAGTTTCTAGAATATTTATTTTCAGTAAACAAAAACAGATCCAGATTTAAAAGAAAATAAACACACTGAGAAGCATCATCACTTATACTGAAGGCTGTAATTTAGATGAAAAACTCTTCAGAACATGAGAGTGCCTTCCTTTCTAACCAAGTATCACCATTACACATACTCCTGCCCATTTTTACATGTTTCTTTACATCTAAGTCATGGCTAGTGGCCAAGGCCTCATCAACAAATTATCAACTACTACCAGCCTAGATATTTATATCTACAAACAAGAAATCAGATACATTCAGGTCCCTCCTCTGTCCACCTCACTTTTAATTCAAATTTTTCCTTCAATTTCACAAAAACTCACAGCTCCACAGGACTCAACAATAAATGTTCTTACCTTAGCTGATATGGAGGTATCTTGATAGCAGCATCAGGAGATTCCAAGGTTTCTGTATAACCAAAGGAAACAATAGGACTTTCAAAAGAAACTTAGAGCTCAACCATAGTAATATATCTGGCTACAGTCTCTGAACCAATGATCCTCTAGCTTATATCAACTCCAGCTGACAGAACAACAGTCACTGCTACTCCAAGTCTCCACAGATTTGTATGAATCTATCAGGACACTGAGTGCCCAGTGCAAAGGCACCGAGTACCATCTTTTCCTCAATGAACTCCCTTTCACGTATCAGCACTTCAGCAGCACTCATACTAAAACTGGAACAGTACAGAGGATATCAGCATGGCTGCTGTGCAAGGACAACACACAATTAATGAAGCAACCCATGGAACCTCAAGCTGAAAGGCTAGTAATAAGACAGCAACAGGTACGAACAAATTTCTGTAACTACGTATGGATGAAAAACATCAATTTAAAGCAATTTTAAGCATCACAGTTCTGCTTATGTAAGTTAAGGGTCTTGCTGACTAGTGCTCCAGGTAGTTAGCATCAACGGCACTTCAACCCACAGTCAATCTCTGAAAATGGGCGGATGCTGAAACATACCGAAGCTCACATGCCCTTCAAAGAAGAACTCACTTTATTGATCATTTCCATCACACAGCAAGGATAACAGAGCTTAGGGCATCCAGTAAAAAAAAAACACAAAACCCAAAAAACAGCTTTTAAAACAGATGCCCGAATGTAAACCAGCAGTGAAAACTGTACTGGAGGCTTTTTTCCGATGATTTCTTATGCGGTGAGGGGGGAGCTTTTAGAGAAAACCATACACGCACCCCTTCTATCACCCACAGAAACTGACAGCTACCGATAGCGCGCCCGCAGACCCGGGGTGGGGGGGACACAGGACAGGGACGCTCACCGGGACCGCCAGCCCCTGCCACACCCCCTTCCCCGGGCATTTCCAAC